GAAATTCGGTACCATGTGCCGGCAGTACCAGCAGAGGAGAAAGTGAGGCAGGGTGGGGGGCAAGGTGCCCAACCATGGGAGTTCTGGGCAGCCAAGATTCCGAGATTCCGGCTGTCCTGGGAGCCCGAGACTTTTAACCCCTTCTTGGATAAAGAAAGCTTTGTAAAACATTAATCCTCCTTCATCTGAAAGAGAAGAGAGACAGCCTGGGGCCTGAGATGTTAGAAGAAGAAATCCTAGGTGGGAGGAGATGATGGAGTGGCCTTGTGGACTTTCCTTGTATAGCTGTAGACTGAACCAACTTCTCCTGAAACAGAGACTGCATTTTTAGGGAGGTGAAATGGTTGGAGCCAAGAGAGTGACAGGAGTGGAGTGAACAGAGGAAGATGAGGAGGGTGTGGTGGTGCCCTCAGTCTTCAGGGTAGAAAAAGATCTCTATTCTTGAGACCCTCAGCCCAGGGGAGGAGAAAATGGGCAGGCTGGTGTCCCAAAATGAGAAACTGTTGTTCTTTGGTCCTTGGCAAAGCATCCTTAAAGGAACCCAGTGAGCAGTTTCAGTCCAAGCACGGTGGTGAGAGCACTGTACATGGAAGGAGGATGTAAGACTGGCAAACTTTCTCCAGGCAGTGCCATGTGTGACATGGAAACACAGGAGATTGCAATTGTGTTTTTTGGGTGTTTGTGGTGCAAGAGAGACTCCTCTCTCTCTTGATGGAATAAGTATTGATTATTTGAAAGGTGGTGACTTGATTAAGGGTCCATGTTATGTCTCACTGTGGTTTGTTGGAGTTTGGGTGGGGGGAGAAGGAATGTTTTGTAAGGTTTTCATTCTGGATTCAGGGTGTGTCTTTTATCACAGTAGTAGCTTAATAAAGTTCTTTCCTTTGTTTTTAAGTTTGAGCCTGTTCTGCTCTGTTCCTGATCACATCTCACAGCACTCATCTGGGGAGGGTGTATTTCATGGGACACTGGCATTGCACCAGGGTCAAACCATGACAAGTACCCATAAATCTGGTGTTTTGTTTTATTTCCTTGAGCCTTTTGGGAGTGAAACTTGAAAAAAAAAAAAAAAAAAAAAAAGAAAAGAAAAAGAAGAAACCACTTGATTCTTTGCAAAAACCGTCCATGAAATAAAACTACAGTTTTCTAAGGCTTTCAACCTGTTATTTGGCAGGAGTCCAAATCTCAGTCAGAGATCAGCTTCATTAGTGTAGACTCAACCTGCATTTTCCTCTAAGCCAAAGAGATCCAGGCTATGTAAGAATCGGGAATAAAGCTTTGCACATGAAGCTAACTTTACTGCAAACAGGCAAGTAATTTCCTTCCTTATCCTGCTGTATATACCACCAATGGGCTACCCCAGTAAAACTTCATTACCTTCAAGGTCATGCTTCCACTCGATTTCTTCCAGGCCTCCCTTCCAATGAGCCAATTGCTGACTCTTCTCAGCCACTCATCTCCTTCAGCCGGGCAGAATCCGTGTTTGAGCACAGCACGCCACTGCTAGCATGTCACTACAGAAATATAAAAAGCTCAAGCCTGCAGCTGCAGGATAAAACATTTCTGCATTGCTTTGGGGGTAAGGGGAATTATTCAGTTTATACTTTTATCTCCAGACCCGAAGTGAGAGACCATCATCAATCAGCTTTTAGAGCAGCCTGGAGAAAGTAATGTTCTCCCGTGCCCACCCTGATGCGGCGGAGCACACGGGGTTTCATTTTGGTCCAAAAGATGCGGGGAGGAACCAGCCCGTAAGGTACAGGACTGCAGCGGGGCAGGCAGGCTGTGTTCTGGCCCTGGCCGTGGCCACCTGTGGAGCGGGCCAGGGAAGCTGTCCGGGCGATGATTCAGCACCGGCTTTCGTCCTTCTCCTCGGGGAGCAGCGGGAGCCGCCGCGGGCGGGGACGGCGCGCCGGGAGCCGCCCCGCTCTGCTCGCCGCCAGCCCCGGAGCCCCTGCGGAGCTGGGGGGCTGGAGCAGCTCTGCAGGCTTTCCTGCGGAGCTGGGGGGCTGGAGCAGCTCTGCAGGCTTCCCTGCGGAGCGGGAGGAGGGGGAGGAGGTCTGGGCACAGCCGGCTGCGTGATGCTGAGGCAGGCGGGCTGCGCGCCAGGGCTGGAGGTGCGGCGGGGGAAGGGACCCGCAGCGGAGCAGGGCACTGCAGCCTGGCCGGGAGCCAGGGACCGCGGGCACGCTGCGGCCGGGAGCCGTGCGGGTGTGCCTGCCTGCCTCCTGCATCCCTCCTGCCTCCTGCATCCCTCCTGCCTCCCTCCCGCCTGCCTGCCTCCTGCATCCCGCCTGCCTCCTGCATCCCTCCTGCCTCCTGCATCCCTCCTGCCTCCTGCATCCCTCCTGCCTCCTGCAGCCCTCCTGCCTCCTGCAGCCCTCCTGCCTCCTGCAGCCCTCCTGCCTCCTGCATCCCTCCTGCCTCCCTCCCGCCTGCCTGCCTCCTGCCTGCCGGGCGGAGCTGCTGCGGGCAGGCTGGTGGAGGAGGAAAAGTCGGGGAGAGGGATGCTCTCCATCCTCAGTTCAGCCTGCCGGGCTGGGGCAGCCAGGGTGAGAAAGGGAGCGATGCCGCCACATGCAGAGGAACCCCTGTGTGCATCCCCCGTGCAAATGGCATGCCATCCCTCTGGCCAGCTGTGCCATGTTTTGCGTGTTCGGTTTAGCTTCGTGGCAACCCTTGTAAGAAAGGTGCAGGGTCTCCACGTTCGTTCCTGTTCAGCGCAGCACCAGCAAGATGTGAGCCAAGCTCACACAGTTTAAAGGAGAGCAGATAAGTGCAGATAGAATGGAGGGTCATGAAGATTACTGGAGATTGAACACAGGCAGTTTGCCAGGAAGACCAGTGCAGGAAGATGCGGACAGGACTGGGGATTAAACACAGGCTGAGAGAAGTGTCAGCACGGAAAATTCTCTTACTGGAAATAGGAAGGTTGAAAATTAGACATGGATAAAGAAGGAAAGTAATTTTAAAAAAATTTCTGCCAAGCACTTAGATGCTGTAGTATCTCATCTGTGCAATGAATAGAATATTCCCAGACAACTTGCACTCCACTTAGAAGAGGGATGCTGTAGCTTCACTCTTGAGGAACAACTTGGGTGTGTGAGAGTGTGTCTGGTTTTCCCAGATTTATCAGTTAATCAAATGAAAGGTACATCCTTTCTCTAGAAACGGTGCTTACTTGTAGCCACAGACCACCGCACCTGCCACGGCAATTCTGCTGTTTTGTTACACTTTCTACAGAGGTTGTGTTGTTAGTGCTGTTTGAAATAGGTTTTGAGATACTCGAGAGAGGCTGCACTGATGCAGGATATTACCAGCAAAAGAGAACATGTGCTTTGTAATAAGAGAAGCCATATATGTAAATATGCAGTGCAAGCTGTTCGTTCTGTCTGAGGTTGCTGATCACATCATTAACCTAGGGACCAGACACTTCAGTGGTAATGTAGGCTAGATTGTAAGATGATTTATCTTTTTACATTCCTTCAGAGAGTGTTATCACTGGCTGTGCTTTAAGGTAAATGCTCCAAAGCACTTGACTGTAGTAGCATTGTGATTACTTCAGTTGGCTACGACCGCCTCACAGGAAGCTTTGTGATCAGACATCCATCAATTAGTCCTTGACATGACAGTCTGTAAAAACACTATGGGATTCATTGAGATTTTGATAAATCTTTTTCATGTGACTGTTACTAATGTTCCCATGGAAGGGGGGCTGAGATGGGAGTGGAGTTGAAGGCAGACAGAGCATGGGTAGAGCCAGATGCCTCTTTTGACACCATCAAAAATAGGTAACTACAAAGGAATTTACCTTTCATGTGCCTAAACAAGACACCAGCAAAAATTAGTTCAGGGAAATTTTTAGCACTTGATTCTTTGTTTCCTTATGAATCCTGCAGCCATTTATACTAAAGAGAAAGGGGGATTCTCACCAGCAAAATTTCAATGCAAATGTTTTCATTAAGTTCAAGGACCTGGAAATTGTATTATAAGCACCTTGCCTTTCATACATGTCTTTATTTTTACATGGGTGTATTTTTCTGTGAGAGACAAAAGAGACTGGGAATAGATCTGATTCTAGTCTTACTTTCATTATCTTAACTGGACTGTTGATTTACCCCTGTATTATACTGCACTAGTGGAAATGGTAGTGCTGTGTATTAGTAAAGGTGAGAAATGACAGCCAAATTTAACTAAGTGCAAGCCTTTAATAATAATAATAAATAAAATAGTTTGATTTTTTTTAAATTCTATTCTTTTAGTCTAAGGTGAGTGAGGATCTAGTCTAGCAACATGTGAGCTCTTGAAAAGTGCATTCAGGAACTGACTTTACTGTGAACTCTGGGGTTTTTTGGGTTTAGAAGTGGGTCTGGGAAGGAGGTTGGGAAATAGAATTTTAAAAAGAGCAAACCTCCTTGCAACAACTCGAATGAAAATTTATCAGAGATGAGAATGGTTTGGGATTTTTTTATTTCCTCTGCTTGATCTAAGATGCATTCCACCCTATTCCTAGGAAATAAAACTTACTCAGGAGCTTGGAAAGAAGAGCTGTCTCTAGGTGTCAGGCAGGGAGAAACTGCTTCTGGAAAGAGGTTTTCCCCCTGGGAGAGATTGAATATCAGACTGAGCGAGCCCAGTCCAACCCAAAGAGCTCCCACCGACGCTCAGTCCCTGCTGGAGGACTTTGCCATCGATGGCCGCCGCTGCCTCTGGCCACGCTTTGCCTGGAGAGAGGGAGTGGGTGGGTGAGCAACTCCTGTCCGCTCCCTCCCTTTGATTTGATGGCCTTTATTCCTCCTAATTGGATAAAATAGGAAGTCACTGACAGTCCTGCGTTGCTGGGTGTACTGATTTCACTCAGAGCAGCCCTGCAGAGTGCGGGGGGTGGGGTAGGGGAGGAAGGAGCGAGTCTGTACATCAGGGAAACAGGCTGAGAGGGGGCTGGGGGAGCGGGGCGGGGGGGACGGAGGAAAGTGAATGAGCGCTCAAGGAGGACAAAGAGGGAGGGGAGATAAAGGGAGTTACCACCGTCTTGGCATCGCTCTTGCTTTCAAACCTCTCTGTAATGATATTGTTTGCAGTGATGCTCAGACAGCGAGCACCTGCTGCTCTGTAATGATTCAGCCTCTTTCAGCCGCCGCTGTAACACGACAGGATGCTGCTGCTACTGTCACTTCTGCCGCTGCCGCTGTTGTTAGAGATTTTGCTTTTGCTCCTTCTACCGCATGACAATTGTTTTCCTCGTCTAAGCAGATACCAGCCTCAGATGCTCAAGGTGAGAGTCTTGCCTTTCGCTCTGGGCTACTGGTTTACTTAATCTGGTCAGTTTGTTCAGTGTTTGTGGTTTTCTTTATCTCATGACCCTCCTTACCCCTATTTTGTTTTGTTGTGCTTGCTTTTGGGGGAATGTTTCTTTCCCCTGGAGAAGAACTGGAATTGCTTGAGAGGCGTTTAAGGAATTATAAAAGTGGCTAGCAAACAGGAGCTTAGTAATTGCAAAGCTATTCTCACTTCAGAGAAGCAGAGACAGTAACAGAGGGCTTGGGGACACAGGGACTGGGGGGGGATCTAATTTTTCCTGTGCATTACTCCTCTCTCAGTTTGGATGATGTTGCTGAGCTTCGACCTTTTATTGACTCCCACTCTGTGATTTTTGCAGAGCACTGTGACTATTACTACCGTCTCTTTTTGTCTGTGTCTCACAGTAATGGACTGTGATAGAGTTAAGGCCTTTTGGAGGTGAGCTGTTTGAGAGCTGATGCTTAAACATGTCTGAAGTAGCTGCCGACACTTTCCCCAGCCCCTCAGCTCAGCTGAGCCCTGATGCGTCCCTCAACGGGCTCCCGGATGAGGAGAACATGCCGGGGACCCAAAGAGAGGACAGGAGGGTCCAGGGGATAGCAGGCCTTGCCGCAACCTGCTGTGCGTGCCTGGAGGCCGAGCGACTGAAGGGCTGCCTCAACTCTGAAAAGATCTGCATCGCCCCTATCTTGGCTTGCCTGCTTAGCCTTTGCCTCTGCATTGCTGGCCTCAAGTGGGTCTTTGTGGACAAGATTTTTGAGTATGACTCTCCTACCCACCTTGACCCTGGGAGGATAGGACAAGACCCAAAGAGTGCTGTGGATCCTACAGCTCTGTCTGCCTGGGTGCCTTCGGAGGTGTATGCCTCACCCTTCCTCGTACCTAGCCCCAAGAGCAAGGCTGAAGTGACAGTGCACAGTGACAGCTCACTTGTACCCTCCAAACCGTTCCTCCAGCCTTCTCTATATAACCGCATCCTAGATGTTGGGTTGTTGTCCTCTGCCGCACCTTCGCTGTCACCACCCGCCCTGGAGCCTACCACAGCATCTCAGGCACAAGCAACAGAAACCAATCTCCAAACTGCTCCAAAACTTTGTAAGTAAAAGCTATGTGTTTCTTTGGGTTTGTTTTTTTTTTTTTTTGTTCCCTTTCACAGAAAAAAAAAAAAAAAAAAGCACTTAACTGTTCTCTGACTGTCTACAAGGAGGACATGTGATTGACTTGCAGAGCTTAAGCATGCTAAGACAGGTATAGCATGGGTTGCCTTCTGAGAACAGCATCTAGAGTCCTCAGAACTTAATTCTGTCGTTTGCAGGACTTCATCTGGGATGTCTGTAAAGGGCTAGTACTGCCTTTTTCTCTGCATCCACTTGTAGGGAAGTATGTGATTTGTTTCAAGGGTTTATCTGATAGCTGTTCCACATAGTGTGTTGTCCGTATAAATTGGCTTTGTCTCCTGTGCTGGATCTTCCATGTGTGTTCTTTGCCTTGCCTGCAGAGCATTTCTGGTACATCCTTCCTGAAGTCTGTGGCTGGCAAATATCCCTGTCATCCTCATGAAACTCTCAGAACAGTGAAAAAAAGTGACAGGAGATTTGAAGCAGTTAGAAACCGGCAACTACTAATTTAGCATCTAACTTACGATCTTTCCCTTTCTCTTAAGAACAAAGCATACATTTCTCTGTGCCTTTCTCTATCTCTAGGAGCTGCTTCTTGTTTAACTTGTTTCTCATATATTGCCTTACTGCCTTTTGTGAGGCATTTCAGGAAAGCATTCTTGCTGATGTAGAAAGAGTCAATTTCCAAATTAGACTTCGTTCATTATAAAAACAAACAAAAAAAGGTATCTATATTATTTTCTTAGTAGTAATCATAAAGCATCAAAATACTGCATTGCTGAAGTGCCATTTCTTTGACATTCTTTATTTTAACCCATCAAATTCAAAGCAAACCAAGCCAACAATTCCTGATCTGTGCAAAGCTCTAGTAAAAGGGAAGACAGCACAGGCTTCTGCTTGAGAGCACAGGGCTGAGGTTTGCTGTCGAAAGCTGCAGTGATCAGAGTGAAAAACTGCACTCCTCACAAATTTCCCTGCAGGACCCCATGTCATTTATTCTCCCTCATGCCTTCCCTATAATGCCGTAGGTTGGTACGTTGAAGATGGCACATACTGCACCTCACCCTGGAGCTCTGAAGTCACCAGAAGTTCAGTTCTAAGTTTAGCCCCACCAAGACTGAACTTGAGTATAGATATGTGGCATTTGGATTAAATCTAATATTTCAGGCCAACACCCTTGCCAGTGAAAATGAGCATAACTAGGGTGATTTCAGAGGAGGTCCTTTCAGCTGAGAGTCAGTCTTGAACAGCAGTTCCAGAATCAGTGAAACAAAGTTCTGAGTATTCCTGTAGAAACCTGGCTACCTTTTGCTTAGATGATGGGTGGCAACCATCCTTCAGATTAAAAGTAATTTGTCAGATGGAAACAGTCTAATAGAGAAACACTACTGTACCATTAAATGATAGGGGAGCTTTGTCTGTGGTGTTACTTGAATTAACCATCTTTGCAATTAAATAGAGCTATGCTAAGTGAGCTTTCTTTTAAATATTGCTGATGCATAAAATCTTTTTTTGTAGTGCAAACATTCTGACATTAAATATATGACTTTTTAACACATTTTGCTTAATAAAGTGACCAGAGACCACTATTCAGTCATAATTGCCTCAAGAATCCCTCTTGAATTTCCACATATGTGGCAAACCTTTTTCAAAAGCATGGTAACTTCATCTCTGAAGTAAACAAAGGGGTGGAGGGGCACAGAAAATATTCTTTGGAGCTGTCGCTGACAAAAAAGCCATTTATCTGCATTTAGATCTGCTCACATCTGGGAAATAAATGGTGGTCCAGAAGTCAGGTGATTGGGTTGAGAGGGGTTTTTTGATTTTGATTTGGGTTTTTTTGTTTAATTTGGCCTTATTTTTTAAAGATAAATGTGTTTTAAGGCATTGTAGAGTTCCATAGCTACAGACTGAAAGGAGAGGGAGAACCAGTAGCAGATCAAGTTTGGTTTGCTCTAGGGGAGAATGTTACGTAGACTGAATTTATTCAAACTGTGGTACATAATTCTGATTATGGCAAGCGTATCTGGTTATCTGCAAAGAAAAATCAGAAAATCTAGCTGGAAAAATACACTGCAGAAGGTCTGCCTAAGAATTCCAAGAGGCATGAAAAGAACTTTTTTGTACAGCTCTTAAAGCACTGTCTTGGGGTTTTAGAAACAGCTGCATTTCAAACACATTGTTGTGTTTTATGTAGAGCAAGATTTGTTGAAGAGGTTGACAGATTGCATCAGTGCTAACCTTTTTTTTTAATGCCTTTGACAGCTATAAAATTCTCAGTGACATGGCTTGAAAAGTAGCATCTGCAAATTGGATTGTCCCTTCTTTTGCCTTTCAGCGTCCTTTTTTACTTTTCAGGCAGAGTGAGGTAATATGTTCCCAGAAAGTCCTTTATGTGCTGAAAATTTTTTTTCCAGTGCAGAAATAATTTTAAAAATGCACGTTTCATCTTCTGTGCTTGATGTACTGTTTCTGAACCTATCCCCTCCAAGAGTTTCCAAATCTTTTTCCCTTCTCTCTTTTCCGTCTTACTCAGCATATTCCCTTAAAGCTGTATCCTTCAAGGTCATAGTCTGCAGAGGGCTAATTGATTCTTCTTTCTCCTGGAGCCTGGAAGAGAAAGCAGAAGAGAGACAATCCTGATAATTGTGTCTGGTGTATTAGATTTAAGACTGGTCTTGGTCCTTTGGTTATTCTTTGCCCTTTATCAATACAGAAATGTTTCTTTCTGTTTAGCTTACCTTTCATATTTTAATATAACTTTTCCTTTGCTGAAAGAGAAAGGAAAGGTGAATGTTTTAAAGCATTCCCATATTTAGGGAGCTTGTCAATCTTAGCATAATTACACCAGAGAAGATATTATTAAAAGCAGGATATAATAATACACTCTAACCTACAATCTCCCTCCCTCTGAGAAGACGCGCAGATTGTAATAGTGCTAACTCAGTTCAGGAGCTAAATTTCACTTCCTCTAACACTATCACCTTCAAATACAATTCCACCCTTTATGCAGGCTGATTAGACATTCAGTTCTGTAGTACTGCAAAAAATGTGTTTCTGTAACAGTAGATTTTATGTATCTGCAAAGCAGCCATTCCCCTCTTTGAAGGTCTTCCTACAGCCTCCTCTTTCCATTTAAGAAGATTTCCCCACAAAACTCCCAGAAAGGCCCATGTGGAGCTTGCCTTTCTGGGGTGACATCTCTGCCAAAATAGTGCAGCACTCTTGTGCTTTGGTTCTGCCCCAGAGCAGAGGCCCGAGCAGGCCTTGGCTTTGGAACCACAGCTCTCATAACTCGGTCAAGTGCCACAGGGCACACAAGAGACAGGGCAGGAACACACATGATTTTCCACAGCGTGATTTTTCTGGAGTGGGTTTCCCTGAGAGCAGAGCTTGAGGACCATCAGAGAGCCGGGTCCAGAGGATGCACATGGCTGGTGGCACATCCGCGCACCTCCTGCATCCATTTCACTTCTGGCTTCCCTGGCCAGCTTACGTGCTGTGTGTGTAGGCAGTGTGTGCCAGCGCTGATGTGCCAGCTGCACGCGTGCTGTGCTGGTGGCCAGCAGATGATCAACAGGCATGGCTTCATCTCCCTACAGCGCTGGACCTGTGCATGTCCCTTGGGACGCAGGCAGGACTCCTTCCTATCTCACTCGTGCTGGTCCTCACCTAGAGAATGTGGCAAAATGAAAAAAAAGAGTTCTACATTACTGTCAGCTACCTCTGACTACTGGAGGGACGACTCCCTTCCACAGTTTTTGATTTCTGCTTCCACTTCAGGTGTGCTGGGTCATTATTAGCAAAAGATGCTGCTTTCTTATCCTCAGTGGAAAAAGGTTAAAAGATTGCTTCTGAAGCCTGGTAGTGGCTGTTTATGTGGGAAGCAGTCTCAGCTCCCCTTCTAATTTGACAATGCTGCACTCCAAGCTCCCTAATTATGGTAATGCTTTAAAACATCCACCTTTCCATTCTCTTTCAGCAAGGGAAAAATAATATTAAAATACAAAAGGTAAGTCAAAAGGAAAGGAATATTTCTGTATTGATAAAGCCATAGTGTAATAAAAGAAGCGAGATCAGTCTTAAGTTGAGGCACAATGGCTAAATTTCTTGTGTCTTTTTAGAGCTAGAGAAGTGGAAAATTGAATAAAAATTGTACTGTACCTTGTACCATACCGTAAATATTCCTTATATTTTTTTCCCCCCTCTTTCACTTCCACTCATCCTTTCTCAGCTCTGCATTTGATGTCCTTTCTCCTGTTCACAGTGATTTGGGAAGATCTGTACTTTAGCTTGATGGCAGGCTAGAGGGAGCCTCTCCCTCCACTTAGAAGTGCTGCAGCCCTCTAACTTCAATTTAAGGACAGAGGGTTTGTTCATAGAATCTTCATGTAATGTTTGTTCTTATTCTTGAAAGAGTCATTCTGGCCACCTGTGCTCTGTATTTCCAATCCCCATCACAAAACCATAGGACTGAGTCTATGCCTGGCAACCTCTGAAGGTGTCAAGGTCTGGGATGTCTCAGAGAGCTGCAGGGGGCTGTATGCAGGGGAGGGGAGAGCAGATGATACAGCACAGACTGTCCTTCAGCCTTTTCTGTGCTCACTGTTGCTCTGCAGGGCAGTGCCACAGGAGAGATTTTTTTTTTTTTTTTTTTCCCCAAAACTTGAAGATGCAGGAACAAAAAGCACATGCTGGTCCATTTCTGACACAGTACTGGATTTGATAAGCTTCAGATGCCTAACTTAAGTGCCTGCATTAGGAAGCTAGTTAGCCTTCAGAAGCATATCCAGCATAAAGGGAGAGACTTCCTTCCCCCAGACAATTCCCAGAGTGATTCTAACAGGAGTCACTCTCTTTCCCCATGGGTCTAAAAGGAGACTACCCTTGCAATCAGTTTCTAAGTTAAATACACAATATGAGTAGTCATTTTGAAAGCCATGATTTTTTCTTTTATGCATCCTGTGAATTAACAAC